CAGTGCATGAAGTACCATCTTTATTTTGTGTGTCTGTGTCCATCACTATGGATGGTGTTCCAGTATCTCTTTTCTGGAGAGACTAATTTTCATCCAAACCATATTTGTGGCTAGATCATACCTATTTGATTTTGTGCCTTAATTTTCCTCTAGCTCCAGAAATTAACATGACCATATGTAAGAGTTACAGAAATTATCTGAAGGCTGGCAGGGGTGAAGTGGAGGAAAGCTTAGATCTCAGGCCTGGGTAGAAAACAGAAGATGGAGAGGTAACTTGATTATGGTGTACAAATACTTACAGAGAGAGAAAATACCTGGTACTGAAGAGGAAGGGGCTCTATAATCAAACAGCATAGCATTTCTACTAGATCATAGTATCACTGTATATGTTCCTGTACTACAGGGTAACAGAGGAATCAATAACTTGAAGATTCAGATGCTTGTATTCAGAAGTGATCCCATTCAGAGTTAAACAGTTTCCTAGGTGTCTGAACAAACTAAGAATTGAGCACGTGTTGTCGTTGAGAAGGCATTTGTGGTGGAATGACATAATACAAATACGCTGCAAACTGTTAACTTTTGAGATCTTACTATCAAAAGACAAAAGCTGTCATTTTAATGCAGATTTAATGGCTTTCAGGTTTGAAAACAAAGCTAGTAGTGGTGTGGGGTTGTTTGTTTTGCAGTGGTTTTGACACATTGTGATTTAGAAAAAAAGACCTTATTGCCAAAGAATAGTAAATTCAGTTAGTATAAATACATATGTGTAGGTACATATATTGAAACTGCATGTAATTGGGCATATGTGGATTTTGAAGTGCAAGTCTGATTTGCCTTTAATTTTCTTGTTTTTTCTTTTTTTTTTAACAAAACAGCTTTTTTCTGTATTTCATTTTTTTTTTTGACAGCTTCTGGGAACTGCAATAATATTGAATTTCACTTTCTTTTTCTCTTATTTTTAGAGGCTGTTATGTAATTTAGGCAGGGTGAGGGGTATTAGGCACAGCATGCAAGCTTGGAGTGCTTTTACTTTCAGAAAAATGATTCTAAAGTCAGTCCACAGGATCCTGTCATAATCCTTTCCAGTGAAATTTTTTCTTTTGCCTACTCGGTTTAGAAGCCGATCAGGGACCCTTCTTAACGCTTTTTAGAGTAAAAAAAAACTGGTCTGTGTTTGTGAGGAAAGTGAGAGAGAGTAGAGAAAACTTTGTCTTTTACATGTTCCCCTCTAATTATGCACTTGGAGCTCAATGGACAGGGTAATTTCTTGTCTTGAAGACAGCCCAGGATGTGGCTGCAGAAGCTGTACGGAACCTAAATTCCTGCACTCACCTGGGGCTCGGTTGCTGTAGGAAACTCCTTGCAGTTTGTCAACTTCTCTCCCATGTAGGAGGAGCTCATCATGAGTTAGTGGAGTGGAAAGAGGAGTGTAGGAGCTGCTTCTTGTGATTGAAATAATTTTTTTCTTCCACGGCACATCTGTGATGGTGTAAGCAGCCCTACCTCAGCTGAGTGAGCACTTACCTTCAGGAGTGCATGTGCTTAGATGCATTTTCAGTGTGGGGTGTGATTGCGTTAGGTGAGAGCAGTCAGAGGTGGTCTCTGCTGTAAGCTGGCCATAATAAGGCTCCATGGAGAGCAAGGGCAGAAAACTGAAGTGCCACAAAGTGCTGTCTTGTGCCATGTCCTGTATGTTTTTTATTTTTTTTTTTTTTTTTTAAGCTGTGTTTGAAGTCAACATTGTTGAAGTCCCCATTGTCTAAGGAAATAAGCAGGTCAGGAGGTTGTAACAAAGTATGCAGTCCTTCAAACCAACTGTTTTATGTGAATCATATAAGGAAAAGGAAAGTTATTAAACATACCTTTTTCTTTTTTTTTTTTTTTGTAGATCTCAATGGTAGCTGTAATTCACATTCCTGATGAGAGCTACAGACTTCCCTGCAGAATACTGTATCAGTATCTACTTCTAGCTCGAGGTCAATACCATGAGCTGAAGGTAAGCCCCATACCGTGTGTTGTTTCATTCGGGTGGCAGTGTTAAGTTTAGCTTACGTAGGCTTTCAGAAGTCTAAATTAGTGTAAGAGTTTTATTGGCAAACAAAGAATTGGATAATAGCTAAAATGATCAGTTAAGTGATTTCAGCAAAAGTTATTGAACAGAAATATTTTATGTGACAATATTAAAGATTTCCTGGAGAAATTACTTGATTCTAATCTAGGCAACCTAGGTCATGTCTGCTTATTAAAACAGTAGGAAGAAATTAACTAGCTGTTGAATGCTTTCTGTCTCCAGAGCATGCTACCTGCTTCCTAGTCTCTCAGAATTTCTCCTGTACTGCCCTTCAGTTGGGAAAGGTGAAGAAGAAATTCTTTTTGGATTGTTTTGTTGTTTTGGGTTTTTTTAATGTATTTTTACTGCAACGCATGCACAAAACTTAGGACAAACACAAAAAAAACACAAATAAAACTTAGACCTAGCACAAATCAGTAAAAATTAAACCAATGGTCTTGTTATTCCAGTCCAGTTTCCCTTATCTATGCTTCCTGTGGGAGCATCTTTCTCCTGTGTCTGTCAGGCAGTTGATGATATGATTCTATGCAATCCACTTTATCACTCATAATAAAAATAATATATGGTATTGATAAGCTAGTAATTAGGCCAACTTAATTCAATTGAGTTGATTAGCATTCATTCAGAAATAGATTTGTCCAAAGACATGTTTGTCCTGGCCATTTTTTGCAGACATATTATCCAGGTAAAATTCCCTGTTGATCCCCTTAAACCTTCTCATTTATTTATAAATAAAAGTTATATATACTCATTTATATAAATATATTCATATTTACATATAAAACACATACAAAGTGTATGGTTTCCATTGTAAATCACACTTCAGCTGAACGGAAATAACTGTGCAGCTGCACACTTTGCAGTTGTGTAGTGTGTTCTCCACAGGCACCTTTGGCTGCATGGTAGTTTACCGGCTTTATTAAGTTATCACACTCAGAAGAATTTGCACTTCACGTAAAATACAACAAAAAGGAGTAGGGGATTGTAATGTGAGCAAGAGTGGGATGGGTTGAGTGAAGTAGATTTAACAGCTAGGTGGATATATTTTGGGTAGGAATGGATAGAAGCGTTGCTCTAGGCACAGAGAACAGTATACCAGAAACAGAAACCCAAGCTGGGTTTCAAAACCTGGACAGTCCTGTTAAAGTTCATGCATGTACATTGATTTTGTTTAGCTGAGATTTGATGACTTATCCTTAATATTTTCCCAGTGTTTTATGTAATCTTATGCTTCTGAACTATCTTTAACTGTCAGGACATGGGGGAAGACTGTCTGGCACTACTTGACCCAGTGGAAACCAGTCAGTCTGACCCAGTGGAGCTTGCATCATGTGTATGTGTATTTTCAGCTATCAGGGGAAAGTTTATTGGCTTCTGAATGTTTGTGTATATGTGTATTTTAGCAACTCTTCATGTCTGCAAATAGTACTGCAGCATCTTCAAGTGACACATCTCCCGGTGAGAGAAGCACTGACAGAAGTTTACTAGAAAGGGCTGGACTGGCTGAAGATGAACCAGAATTGCATGAAGAAAACAGTAAAGACTGTGTTGTTTGCCAGAATGGCACAGTGAACTGGGTACTCCTACCCTGCCGGCACACGTGCTTGTGTGATGGCTGCATCAAATATTTTCAGCAGTGTCCAATGTGTAGGCAGTTTGTTCAAGAATCTTTTCCACTTTGCAGTGAAACAGAGCAAGATGAAAATGAATGAACCCATAGCTTGCAAGATGTTCTCCTAGAAGAGTTTTTTAATATGGAGAAAAATAGAACTGGGTTGTATGCACCAAGATTAAATGTAGAAAACAGACTGTTTATGGGAGGTTACGTAGCATTAACTCATATGGTTTTGCTTTTTGTTGTTAGGTAATTCTCAGTGTCCTCATTTTTCTTCATATGCTCACAGGAACACCATGCTTATCCATGCAGTGTGAACGAGAGAAGTGTGTGGGGTATCTTTGAAGAATGTGATTTCAGTTATAACTTCTTACTAGTTTTTCATGGAGCAGTATTGGAGGCTGTTTTGATTACTAAATCTAGTGCATCTACTAAAAAAAGAGCAAAACTTGCAAGTGCAGTTGCACACAGCTCATTCTATATTTATTGTATTTAAAATACTAGATTGATATATCATTTTAGCTGAGTATAATTTAGAAACGTAGGACTTTACAGAATGTGTCAAATGAAGGAAAGTTATTCTTCATTGTTAAACCCATGTATGTTTATTTTGTAGATGAAGGCTGTATTGTGGCAGGAGCTGGGAGTCAAAGGCATGATTCAGGACACTGTTTCTGGCTGTTTTGAAAGATTTTTGTGTGTGCATGCATGTGTGAGGGACCTGTGTCAAAGTCCATTGTCATGAGTGGAAATATTTTAGTTGATAATTGTTGTCTTGAACTAAACATTGCTGTCACTTTCAAGCCTAGGCTCTGCTAAGTCATAGAATCATAGAATAGTTAGGGTTGGAAGGGACCTTAAGATCATCAAGTTCCAACCCCCCTGCCATGGGCAGGGACACCTCACACTAAACCATGCCACCCAAGGCTTCATCCAACCTGACCTTGAACACTGCCACGGATGGAGCATTCACAACCTCCCTGGGCAACCCATTCCAGTGCCTCACCACCCTAACAGGAAAGAATTTCCTCGTTATATCCAAGGAGGATATCTCATCTTGAGACAGACTTTCCATCTTGTTAGCTATGGCTGTAAGAACTTGTTCTCCATGCAAATGTCAGTTAATTACTCCACAGAGTGGTTACTTGGGCAGTTTTGTGGTGCTATTCTGATACGAGTAGCCTGCTTTGGGGAATTTCCAACTCTTTATTTGTGTTGTCAGCTTAGATGTAACATGAACCATTCACCTTTTTTCAGTAGTCCCAAGGAATTTACTTATTCAAAGAAGCTAAAGAAGAGCAGAAAATTACGTCTTTTTCCCTCCAGTGGTGTATTGTCAAAAGCAATAAAAATGGCTGTTGAGAAGAGAAAGTGTTGTTTTGCTTCTTAAGAGAGTGCTGAATTTTCCTAAAAACAGACAGGCTGGGTTTCACATCTGCTTCTGGAAGACAAAAATGCAAATCCTCATTAGAACCTGTGGAAAATGGGGAGTAGCTGCTTTCTGTCCTCCCTCTTGTTCCTTTGCAGCTTTTCCCCACATCAAATTCCAGCACAGCTGCTCAGTACTGGGGAAAGAAAGCCATGCTCCAAGCTATGCTACAAGTGATTCAGCCTGCAACTCCTCTAACAGTGCTGCTGTACAAGGTACATACAAGTTTTATGTGCTGCACACCTCAAAACCAGGGCAGGAAGCTTCCCCTAAGCAAAGGTATTGCATCTCTCCATTTTTTTTTTTTATTTTTTTTTTTCATTTGCCATGACCCTGCTTCCAAACTCTTGGTAATTGCCTCTGAGGAAAAGATTTAGGTGGTGGTGGAGAGTAATGTTGTAAAGACACGTTGAGGTTGGGAATTGATCTCCAGCATTCAGCAGGCTGTTTGTAAGACACTTTATCTGGTCTACATAAAGTGACCTCCCTTGTCAGGGACAACATGGGAACAAACTGCTGGCCAAATGGGCCTTGTGTTTGCACTGTGGATCAAACAGGGATTAAATACCCAGGTGTCTGTGAGAACTGCTTAGTGCTTGCAGAGAACACATGGTTCTGTGAGGAAATCATGGCAAAGAATGAATGGTGTGTATGCTGCAATTCAGGAAGCTGAGAACAGTGAGAGGAGAGCAGAGGAGAAAGTCATTGCAGAAGGAATGAGTGCTGGTGGCAGCAAGGCCGTACCTCAGATAAGATCACAGCACAGATACGGAGCAACAACAGGGTGATGTAACTCAAGCAGACCCAGAGCTGCCTGTATCAAAAGAGAGTATATTGACTGTATATATCATATGGTGGCTTCACCACTCAGGGTGAATCACATGAGAACTTGTCTTCTGTGTCACTCTAGGCAAGCCTCACTGGATCCCTTGATGCTAGTGAGAATGTGAGCGTGCAAGAATAAGCATGAAAGAATGAGTGGGTAAAATCAGCCTTAAAAATCATAGAATAGTTTGGGTAGGAAGGGACCTTAAAAATCATCCAATTACAACCCCCTGCCATTGGCAGGGACACCTTTCACTAGACCAGGTTGCTCCAAGCCCTGTCCAACCTGGCCTTGAACGCTTCCAGGGATGGGGCAGCTATAAAAACCGTCACCTTCCCTTTCTCTGTGGTCTTGCATAAAGTTTTGTTGGCTTGGTTGCAGCCTACCTGCTGGAGGTAGTTGCCGAGTTTAGCTTCCTTACCCGTGTTATGAGCCTTGCTCTGCCATTAAAGGGGAGCAGTTAACATGATGATGGTGGAAATAATTACTCTTCAGACTTCCCTTCATAGCCATGTGTCACTGCTGTGAATGGAGAGCAGCTGTAAATTGTTCCACGCCTCTGTGGGCTCTCAGAAAAAATAATATAAAGCATATAAAGAGCCTGTGCCATGATAATAACTGTTTCCATACAAACGGCTTGTGCTACCAGCATGTGGAATAGTGTCTGGACAGCTTGTTATTCCAGAGGAGCAGGTTAATGCTGCGCTGGTCCTAACTTTGAGCTGGGCACTGCTTTCTAGTCAGCAGGGACTGGGTTTGTCCACACAGATAATCAAAGAGGTGGTGTTTACTGCTTGACCACAGCAGTGCCCAATGTTCAATCAATTCATTAAAATTTCCCAACAAAACGGTGTGATCCAAGCTTGTGGGCTTGTTTAATCTCAAAGTGAAATGGTATTCAAGTAAAGCCTACAGAGAGTTGCCTGGTCTGCCTCATCCTTCAACAAATCGATGCCAGTATTAAATAAAAACAATGGCAAACAGGATGTAGCTCTGCTGACCTGCGAGGCCATGTATTTACCATTAAGTGTATCCTGGCTTTTCATTTGTTTCATGTTCTTTTAATAGCATTTTCCAGAGATGCTTAGTTACTTTATCAAATCTAACAAGTTTCTTTGCTGGCCCAAATCAAAGGCCTGACGGAGAGTTATAAAAGGTATGGTAGCCCTTCTTCTAGGAAGCCATCTCAAAATACAGATCAGGGAGAAGTAAAAGGACCGGCTCTAAAGCTGCCTTGTGTGTCCAATGGTTGTTTTAAAACAGGGATTCAAGGCTCTAAGAGAGAAATAAAACCTTCCCCTGACCCACAAAAACACAGTATATTGACAGAGGCTGTTCTGCTCTGTCGCCCTGTTGTAATAGAGGTAATATAACATTACTCTCCACTCATTATAGGTGATGGTTATGGATTTGGTAACATCAAGGAACATATGCAGCTGCAGGCAACAAGACTTGCTTCTTTTCGGCAGCATCGGAGCATTACAAATTTGTAATGAGTTTTACTGCAGGAGAGAGGTCGGAGGTACCTTACTGGTTTGGTTCATCAGCTGTAATCAGAGCTGTAGCTTTGAAACGAGTTGATCAAACTAAGTGGTACTAGAGGTGTTCCTTTCCAAATTAGGTTCCTTTCCAAGTGCCAGTGAACTATGGTGTGGACATCTTCCTTTTGCAGAGAAAGTTCCTCTGTGAGGATCTTCCTTCATCCCTGCCTGCCTTCTCCTAGAAGAAGGCAAATGGTAGGAGGGAGACAATTCAGGTCAATTCGTTTTAAGATTGTCTTTCCATTCCCACAAGGGATTCTGAATTCCCATAAGGAGCTTAGAAAACTAGCTAATACCCTGCCCCTTACTCCTTATAGGCTGAAATGGTGCCATTGCCACTGAGGATGATCACTGACCATTAGAGTGCCGAGGCGGGCTGCTGAGCTACCAGCAGCCAACACTGCCATCCTGACACAATGCCATTCCTCATCAGGGAATAATGGAAGGGGGAGTTCAGCATCTCACATTTTGGTGGGTCTGAGCAGATGAGAGCCCATGTTCACGTTTTGTTCAACTTTAAGACAAGCTTCTGTGTGAATCTGATTAAAATAATTCATTTACTTGCTAACATCAAACTTTAAACCTTAAGTATGGTGAAAGGAGCCAGGAATTGGGGTCTGAGTTTCTCCTACTAGTTTGTGCATTGCTCAGTCTCCCCATGCCCCGATGAAGCTCTGTGAGCTGGGCCAGGTGAAGGAGGCTGGGGGGTGACATCTGCAGCTGGGAAGTCTCTGCAGTAAGTCGCCATTTACTCAGTTGTCCTGATCTCCAGAATAAACAAGCACTGGCCTCTGTCACTGCAGTGGACGTGCAGGCCCTGCAAAGGCTGTCCCTGGCATCCTGTATATTTATAGCTCATGTAATTAATGCCAGCAGTAGCTGAATTTTATCTGATACAGCAAAAGTGCTCCTCCAAACTAAGGCATTAGACTTGGTATTGTCTTGCTGGAGTACGCTGGGCAGGAAGGACAAAGAGAAAATCAGGATTAGGGTTATATTTCTGGATAAATTCAGTATTACTACCATTTTAATGTTGCTTTGATAGCATACAGTGATCTTGTAATACACCTGAGCACAGCGATCAGGCCACAGCCAAGCACTGGGGAGTGCTGTGCTTTGCAGGTTCCCCCAGAACCAGCCAGACCCTGCTCCCTGCCTTGCGAACTGCTCTCTGAAGCAGTGCTAACCATGATCCTTATGGATGTTTGCCCAGCCAGTGAGCACAGAGAGGGGCTCAGAAGCTGAGCAGTGTGCAGTCGCTCAGGCAGCTCTGTGCATTGTTTCTGTGTTGCTTTTATTCCCTCGTGTCTGTCAGCAATATGGATCATAGAATCACAGAATCATAGAATCGTTAGGGTTGGAAAGGACCTTTAGATCATCTAGTTCTAACCCCCTGCTGTGGGCAGGGACACCTTACGCTAAACCGTATCACCCAAGGCCTCGTCCAACCTGGCCTTGAACACTGCCAGGGATGGAGCATTCACAACCTCCCTGGGCAACCCATTCCAGCGCCTCACCACCCTAACAGGAAAGAATTTCCTCCTTATATCCAATCTAAACTTCCCCTGTTTAAGTTTTAACCCGTTACCCCTTGTCCTATCACTACAGTCGCTAATGAAGAGTCCCTCCCCAGCATCCCTATAGGCCCCCTTCAGATACTGGAAGGCTGCTATGAGGTCTCCACGCAGCCTTCTCTTCTCCAGGCTGAACAGCTCCAACTTCCTCAGCCTGTCTTCATACAGGAGGTGCTCCAGTCCAGGGTGGAGAGACATGAGCTTGCGGTGCAGCAATGGTTATACTTTAAAAAGGGGCTTCTGCTGGTTTGGTTCCATAAATTTGTAGGAATGTGCAACACCTACATAAAGGGTCTTTTGTCTGGATGCTACTGCTTCTCAGCTGGGAGAGTTCCTTCTTTCATTATGCCTACTCATAATGGGAATGATTTAAAATGGTAAAAATGCCATATGTAAACTTAGTCATAAGACTAGATGAAGTCTTCAGTCTGATGTCAAAAGTAAGCAGCCTCTCTGTTTCTCTGACAGTATTTTGAAAAGCAGTGACTTTATAAATAAATGCTGAGATTACTGAGCCTTCATCAGGGTTCAGAGGAACCCAACATATTCCTTTTAATCCTCCTCCCTTCACATGTGCTCCTCAGCCATACAAAGGGCGATGCTGTGATGTTTGCCATAGTCATGGGTGCCATAGTCATGACAGGAGGCATCACTGCATTTCCATTCTTCAGAAGACTTCTGTACTACCTGTGCTGTGCCCGGTGCTCCTGAGGGTTGAGTGAACCCAAGAACCATCAATCAATTATATGAACAATTAGTTGCTACCTGTGTTTTACAGCCTCAGCCTGTGGCATCCTCATATCAGCAGATTTGTACCTAGAAAGCTTTTCTAGGTCTTAGATGCCTCCTCCAGCTTTTTGTCTTCATCAGATGAGAGGTTTTGGCAGTTCCTAATATTTTTTACTCCCCCATTGCATAGCCACTTCACACTTGGCAGATTTTGAAACAGTAGCTGTAGTCAGGGGACTGGTGAGAAGTCTAATGCACCACTTATCTCCTTCATAGTGCTATTTATTTCAGTGTCTATCAGCTCCTTGTGAGCAATATTTTAACAAACAGGCTAGAGGGAGG